AATGGACTGACTATTCTTGGGGGGGAAAGGGGAGTGGGAGATACGGGAAGGGACTGGACAAAAATCGTGCACCTATGGATGAGGACAGTGGGTGGGGAGTGAGGGCGGAGGGTGGGGCGGGAACTGGGAGGAGGGGAGTTATGGGGGGAAAAAAAAAAGAGGAACAAATGTAATCTGAACAATAAAGATTTAATTTAAAAAAAAAAACATAAAACAAAACATAGGAATAATATAAAGATTCAAAGTTGACATCCATCCACTGATGAAAGATATTCTAAAGATATACTCCCACAAGAAATATTTAGTACTCCTGCTAGTATCATCATCCTATATAATAAAAGCCTAATATGCTAAGTGTCCGACTGTTCAACCAGTTGCTATGATGCTCACTGACCACCAGGGGGCAGATGCTCAACACAGGGGGCAGATGCTCAACACAGGAGCTGCCCCCTGGTGGTCAGTGCGCTCCCACAGGGGGAGCACCGCTCAGCCAGAAGCCAGGTTCATGGCTGGCAAGCGCAGCAGCAGTGGTGGGAGACTCTCCAGCCTCTGTGCTAAAGATGTCCCACAGTGGAAGCTGGCCTAAGCCATCAGTCAGACATCCCCCCAGTGCGCCAGAAGCCAGGTTCATGGCTGGCAAGCGCAGCAGCAGTGGTGGGAGACTCTCCAGCCTCTGTGCTAAAGATGTCCCACAGCGGAAGCGGGCCTAAGCCATCAGTCAGACATCCCCCGAGTGCTCCCAAACTGTGAGAGGGTGCAGGCCGGGCTAAGGGACCGCCCCCCTCCCCTGAGTGCACAAATTTCGTGCACCAGGCCTCTAGTAAAAGAAATAAAAGAGATGGGGATCCCCCCAGCATTTCAGAGAGCCTGCTCTGAACAATCCAGTTCTAGACCAGTGTGATGTGTGGTGAAGGGCTGATGGACCTGGAACCCCCAGAATATGCAGGTCAGCCTGGCCTCCACCTCCCTGCTCCTTCCTAGATTCTGGACCATCGTGCCCTTCAGAGCCCAGCCTTTGCTACTAGGAGGGGCAGGGATAGGATTGAGTCCAAGAGTGTCTATGGCACAGTAAACTCATTTATTTTTTATTGTAAAGAAGTTGCAGTTGGAACATGGGACACTGAAAATACACAATCACGGATTGTTCTTTCAGAGGAGGGAGGGAGAGATCCATATATACAAAAAATTGTAAACATGTTCACTTAAATATCCACACATAATTGATCTATGCTACAATGTACAGGGTTGTCATTCAACTGCAACTCCAGAGGCATCTGTCTGTAAGAATGAAATGTGGCAACCACATCTGGTTTAATGTGAAAAGCCAGCTTCGAGCAATGCATGAGTAGTCAGCTATGCAGAGGGACCTCAACCTTAAACTGGGCCTTAAAATGGGGTGCAGGGTAGGGAGTTGAAGGACTGGTTCAGGAAGCCAAGGTAAAGGGGTTTGCATGGAATGGCTGTCTCCAGGGCACCATGGAGCCTCTGTCCTCGAGGCTTGTCTTGCCAGGCACACAGGTGTCCCTAGCCGCCCTTACTGAAGGGCTGGGAGAGGGTTGGTGCCCAGCCTATAGCCATCTTGTGCCTTCCCTGGCCAGAATCACCCACACCCAGGAAGAGGCCTGGGCCGACGCATGGAGGGGCTGGGTTGAGCAGCAGGAACCACAGAGAGGGGCTGCCTGTGGGAAACTATCAGTTGAAACTTGAAAACTTGACCACAATCACAACATGGAGAGGGCCAGGCTACTCTAGCGAGCGGGTGACAGGAAATGGAAGGAGGCTCCAGACAGAGCACATGGCCCCACAGGGTGAACCAACAGGACAGGAACAAGGACTGTCACTACCCACGGGGACATGGGACGGGGAGCAGTGGCCATGCTCCCTGGGTCATGGCATGGGGGTGGGGGCAGTATTCCTGCCCCCAGTCTGGGACAGACTCTGCACCTGGCAATGGAGGGCAGCTGGATCCCTGATGCCAGAGTGGACAGGTGAGCCCCGGGCTGGCTGCCTCATGAGGGGAAGGGCCCCCTGCCCAGGCTGATCCACTGGAGGCTGGAGATTAAAGGTAATGGAGGAACTTGGGGGTACAGCCCGGGCACCCTGGGGGCTACCCTCTCTTGGCCCCAGACGGCCCACAGTGGCCACCCCTCCGTCCCTGGAGTTGGGCCAGGAGGACCTGAGGGAGGTCCCAGGAGGCCTCGGGCCTGGCATCGGTGGGGCAGCCTTCCAGCCCTGGTCTGGGCTTGCCAGCCACTAGTAGGCGGGCACCTGGTACCCTTTGGGGCTGGTGTCCAGGGTCTCGGTGAAGGGCGGGCTCTGGTAGGTCTCGGTGCCCTCCACACCGCTGCCCACTGGGTAGCCAGGGTAGTCCTGGCCCGCCCCGGTGCCCAGCTGTTCGGTGGCAAAGATCGACATGTCGGTGCCCAGACGGAACCGGTGCAGGGCCTTCAGGGTGAGCGCCACCTGAAGAGGAGCCCGAAGTCAGCTGGAGCGGACACCGGCCTGGCCGGCCTGGCCCTCACCGCCCCCCGCAGGCCGCACTCACCCAACTGAGGATGGAGAAGAAGCTGAAGGTGATG